CCCGACATTTCCCCTCAGACACAGACTGAGGGAATAAACTGAGCCTGGGGTGATTTCACTCGGAATGAATTTGGCATTTGGGACTAAGATGTGTTCATCACAGCGTGGATTCGTCTCCTTCAGGCCATTTTAAAGGGGCAGAATCCCCCTAAAAGAGGCCTAACGACCCCCGAATATGTCCCGTGGAGACAATCTGTTCCAGGTCTGAAACTCTCATGGAAACAAAGTCTGACACAAGTTGAATCTGCTCCAGAAAGCAGATGAATCGAGCCCCGTTAACCCTATAAAGCCAAATGTGTCATATCTGATCCGGTTTCTTTTGGATCTGAGACTTTCTGCATCCTTCAGTGGTAAAAGCTTTGCTCAAACCCCTGTTGTACACATTCAGATATACCTGATAACAGCCAGTAGAAGACTACACCAACATACATTTCTGACTTATTGCACGCTAATTTGATCAAAATCATTTCTATTAATTGCTATAAATATACATGAATAACAACAACAATAACAATAACAACAATAACAATAACAAACAAACATTTCCCAGCTTGTTTTCTTCAGTGAAAGAGATCAGAACAGAAACGGGGCTCTCTTTGTGTGATATATCCTCCACAAAGGCGACATTATCACCACTTTTTCTGCCTTATTTTGACTCCAGAAACTCTAAAATATCCTAAAACATTTGATTGGTCAGTCGTGAATAAATTAAATTGAGAATTTTAGTTTAAAACTAAGCCAAAGCCAAAGCTAAGAGGCTGTTTCCTTCTGCTGTCAGATCCACAAACGGGCTGCAGGTTACCTGGTAACGGCACAAATAAACGAGATCGTGTGAAATCTGAGGCTTTTAGCTTTTGGAAAACTTGGAAAACAGCTCGACAGCTGTGGGAATACTGGCAATAAATACCACTTCTAAAGCCAAACCGCTTAGGAAACAAGACTGTTGGGACACTTTTATGCCCAGTTTCCAGCTGGGAGAGTTAGTTTATGAGAAAAGAATATTGGGATGTTTTCAGTCTGGGGGAAGAAAGAAAAATAACCTAATTATTTAACATGTGATATGAAAAGTAGGGCTGCATTTTAAGGCAACATTTTAAAATCCCTCATAAGAAGGTTCCACTGAGTGTTTTACAGGGACAGTTTTTAGTGTGACACATTCCTAACAGCTCGATTTTATGGAGGAAACTGGAAAAATCTGAGAAAGAGAGGGAAAATGTGAAAAGCTTGGAGTATTTAAATGGAAATTTAAAACAAAATGTGTTAATAAAAGTAGAAAGAAACGCCCACAAAACCAGTCAGCCAACATTAACGGATCCCATTCATAAACAACTTATCAGGATCTATCTTAAGCTAATTAACTGAACATAAACTTTGAACTTTTCTAACATAACACAAAGGCAGTCTGAAGCTTTTGTAATAAACGTACATAACAGGGTCGTCATAACTTACTCTGACTTTACTACAGGAACTTTACAGGAACTTTAAAACAATGTACACTAGTTATTTTTATATGTTATGTTTTTTTCTATGACTTCGACGTATATAGGAAATTTACTTTGGGTCTCGAGTCGAATATTTGATCGAATTTCACGTCGTATGTTGAAACATTGGTCTGTTTAGGCCTCATAACAGAGTCTCTGCTGTGTTTGATATAAAAAAGTGAGGAGTTGTGTTAATAATATTATTAATATTAAAATATAGATAATATATATATATATAATTATTGTTATTTTCCCACCTGCTTGTAGGCCTTGGCGTAGTCCAGTCCGGCTCCGGCCAGCGGCGCCCCCCACAGGCCTGGAGGACAGGGCTGGCAGCTGAAGCCCCCCGGGGTGTTCACACAGGCCTCCGGGGTGTAGCAGGGCTGCAGCTCGCACTGGGGGGGGGGGGGGGGGGGG